TATGTCAATGCCATGTTGTTTTGATTACTATAGCTTTGTAGTATGTTTTTAAATCAGGTAGTGTGATGCCTAAAGGTTCCTCCCCGCCCCCCCCACTTCAAGATTGCTTTGGCTATTTGGGATCTTTTGTGGTTCCATTGGCAAAATAAAAAATGATGGAATTTTGGTAGAGATTGCATTGAATCTGTAGCTCACTTTGGGTAGTATGGATATTTTAGCAATATTAATTTTTTCAATCCATAAACATAGGCTATCTTTCCACTTGTCTCTTCTTAAATTTATTTCATCAAGGTTTTACAGTTTTCATTGAATTTGGTTTTGTTAATCTTTTGAGGATTTTTGCACCTATGTTGATCAGGGTTATTGGTTTGTAATTGTCTAACCTTGTAATGTTCTTTTCTGGCTTTGGAATTAGGATAATCCTGGCCTTGTGAAATGAGTTAGGCAGTATTCCCTCCACGTCAGTGTTTTGGAAGAGTTTGAGAAGGAGTGGTATTTGTTCCCCTTTAAATAATTGGTAGAATTCAGCATAAAACCATCCAGTTTAGCACTTTGGGAGGCTGATGGGGGTGTGTCAAGAGGTAAGATCAAGACCATCCTGGCCAACATGGTGAAACCGTGTCTCTACTAAAAATACAAAAAACTAGTCGCATGCCTGTCTTCCCAGCTACTCAGGAGGCTAAGGCAGGGGAATTGCTTGAGCCTGGGAAGCAGAGGTTGCAGTGAGCTGAGATCATGCCACTGCACTCCAGCCTAGTGACAGAATGTGACTCTGTCTCAAAAAATGAAACAAAACAAAAATCCAATTATGGGCTTTTCTTGAATGGGACAGTTTATTACTGATTCAATCTCTTTACCATGATCAGCCATTCCTATTTTCTATTTAGAAGAAAATGTTTACTTTTCCAAAGTATTAACAACTAGATTAAGTCCTTTAAATGAGAAATTTTGTCCACGGTCATACCACCCTGAAAGGGCCCAATCTTGTCTAAATGAGAAATTCTTACATTTACTTTTTAAATAACCACATTTTAAATCTTTTTTTTTTTTTGATATAACATAAAGGGCAGCTATAAACTATTTGCCTTCTGGAAAATGCACCTAAAACATACAAATAAAGTTTTGCATTATATTGGTTTTTGTTCCTTAGAAATGTATGTCCTTCTTATCAGTGTAAACATACTCTATTCTTTTGAGAAGTGGCTATTCATGTCATCTGCCCACTTTTTAATGGGTTCTTTTTTCTTGCTGATTTGTTTGAGTTCCTTGTAGATTCTGGATAGTCCTTTGTCAGATGCATAGTTTGCAAACACTTTCTCCCACTCTATAGGTTGTCTGTGTACTCTGTTTATTATTTCTTTTGCTGTACAGAAGCTTCTTAGTTTAATTAGGTTCCATTTATTTATTTTTGTTTTTGTTGCATTTGCCTCTGGTGTTTTAGTCATTAATTCTTTGCCTAGGCCAATGTCCACAGGAGTTTTTCCTAGGTTTTTTTTTCTAGAAGTCTCATGGTTTCAGGTCTTACATTCAAGTCTTTCATCTACCTTGAGATTATTTTTATACACAGTGAGAGATAAGAATCCAGTTTCATTCTTCTACATGTGGCTATCCAATTATCCCAGCACCATTTTTTGAATAGAGTGTATTTTCCCAGTGTATGTTTTTGTCTGATTTGTCAAAGATCAGTTGGTTATAAATATTTGGCTTTATTTTTGGGTTCTCTGTTTTGTTCTATTGATCTGTGTGTCTACTTTTATACCAGTACAGTCCTGTTTTGATACTATAGCCTTGTTGTATAATTTGAAGTTGGGTAATGTGATGCCTCTAGGTTTGTTCTTTTTGCTTGGGGCTTTGGCTATTCAGTCTGTCTTTGGTTCCATATAAGTTTTAGTATTTTTAATTCTGTGAAAAATGACATTGATATTTTTTATAAGAATTACATTAAATATGTTGATTGCTTTGGGCAGTATGGTTATCAAATGTTAAAATGCCCTTGACAAATAACTTTGTCTCTGTCATTCTGTTTCTTCCTGAAGAAAACAACAAAAAAAAAAATATACTTTATGCAAATAAAACTAAAAATTTTTAAGTGCCTAACACTGTTAAAATATTAGAGAAGACTAGTATTATTTGAATTACATAAGAAGATGGAATTGTGGAGATGCACATATCAGACTTTTCCTCTAATCATTAGATGCATATATCCTACTATGTTATATATATATATACTTGGATATCTTATGAACATTTCAACCTTAACATACCCAAACTATAACTCTTGATTTCTCCTCCAAACCTATCCTTCCTTTAGTGCTTCTTATTTCAATAAATGAGACCCAATTATTCAAGCCCGAGACCTAGGAGTTATCTTTGAATTCCTCCCTTTCCTCTCACCAGTCTATCTCTTATAGATCATCTAATTCTTCCCAATCCCTAGGACCCCATTTTTGCCCCGCCCTACATCTAATATTCTACTAATCAAGTCTGTTCTCTCTTCACATATATCTTGAATTCCTCTACTTCACCTTTTCCAATGCCTGTTTTAGTCCAAGTCACCATCATCTATGTCTTACACTAATTTTGGAATAGAATCCTACTACACATAAATAAGGACTTAAACGTCTGAGAAATAATTTTGAAACGTTTAATACAATAGGAATCATTCTTTAAGTATCATAAATAATGGAGACTGGAAAAAAGTAAGTTTTACTCTATACTCAATATTTAAGCTGAAGTGAGTTTTAGCAATAGAGAAAAACAACTATTTTCTATCAAATATAAGAAAAACAAACACCTAGAAACAAGACCAAAATAAGGTGAATGGGTCTTGGCTGAGTGATCCATAAAGCAAAATATATTTTATAAAGGGACAAGTGAGGTAATGCCTTACTATCCAAAGAAAAATATCCAACAGTCTGGCATCCTAGGAATTTGCCCAGTTCATTTTATAAAGTAAGTTTATATTTTGTTCAGTTTGGTGTCAGTTCTAATGCTGACACTAATTTTATCTGTAGAAGTGGAAACAGAAGAATATATATTTTCCTGTAGAGATAGAAGTAAAATTCACAACATGCTGTTACTTTTTTGTTGTTCTTTAATCCAACTATTATGGTAAATAAACTAATTTTGAATCCTTAAAATCTTTCATTCCAGTAGCCTAAAACAGAATATCAGCATCTTGATACCTGAAACTCATAAGACATTAACTGGAAGTTCAGGTATGTATTGTAGTACAGTTTCAAAGCTGTATTATGTTTTTAAACTTCACAACCCTGTGTATATTATTTCTTACACTTAGAAATCTCAGAATAACAATTTCAATTGGTAATTTAAAATAAAAAATCCCACACCCTCTCAAACTGTTCTGTCCTACTCAAAAGTTAGAATGGTTCTGGTAGAGAAGTATTACATCTGTTGATATAGTAGGTATATTAGCTGATACCTAGCTGATATGTTAGTGGAACCATAGACTAAGTCTTGAAGTAACCGTGGGTGGTATCTGCTATTCTATTCTTTCATGCTTTTAGACATAGTACAATAGAAAATGTATGATTCTGTAGGACTTCTCAAATCAGGCCATGCAATAGAAACATGTGGAGTTTTAGAATCCTCATCCTTGAAAATTCTGACTCAGTAGTTTTGGGAACAGCAACTCCATTTCTCAAGGGGAAAAGATGGGATGGCCTAGAAATAGCTCAGAAAGGTGAAGGATTCCAATTCACCAAATTCTTCCCAGAAGAGGTTTTGGTTTTGTTTTCACTTTTAAGTTGCCATAGCTATAGCCTACCAATAACCCTCTGGATGATCATCACTCAGGGAATATATCCTAATTATAATGCCATTGGTGTAGACAGCTGCGTGCTGCTTTTAGATCTTACAAAGTTGTATGTGTCTATCATGTATAAATGTATGGAGGACTCTTTGGGCTTTTGTACTGTTGCATTTGGTTGCAAAGAGATTCTGTTTACCATAAAACAGCAAAGAAATACTCCAAAGTTCTATCAGAGTGATTTCTTGAAAATGACAACAAAATAGTAAAATTATGTAATTTTCAAATTTCATGGCACATTAAAATATTCTTAAAGCGTTCTAAATTTCTTTTTCTTTCCATATTTGGCATCATAGATAATCCCACAAAAAAGCCAGAAGTTAGGACTGATAAAATATTATCTAAAAATAATGATCATAAAGGAATTGTAGTCTCTACAATAAATTTTAGTACCAATATGACAGTTGCCAAAACCAAGGAGATGATTCTTAAGAAGTTGGTAAGAAGAACTAAAGATACTCTTGGAGCACCAAAAAACAACAGGGTAAAACACCTCTCACACCTGTTCAATAATCTGCTTAGGCTACTCAAGTGATAATTTATTTTAATTAATACTAATCAGAAGAAAAATATTTGTGTAGCACACACTCCTGACCATCCTAGAGATGCAATGTATAACAGAAACTTTGGTTTTCAAATCAATATGATTTGATTTCTAACATGTTGAATTACACTGATTCAGAATTATTAAGGCCAAAAGAAGCTACTGAAATATTGCTGAAGATAAGTAGACTGGAAAATAGGTTAGATGCCAACTGCTTTGTTACTATATATTAGACCACATTTTCTTCCTGTGACCATGGCTTGGGACTCTTAAGAATTTCAATTCAATTTCAAGAGCTTTTAAGGGTTTGCTTCAGATTAATTTGATTTTAACTGAAGATACAGATAAACTTGGTCTTTGCTTGCATGGGTAAACTTCAGGGAGTTTTTTTTTTCTATTTTTTTTTTTATTAACAAGCAACATAATCAAAAACAAACACAACAACCTTAACGCTGAAACAGCAATAAGTCAAACTGCTGCTGCAGTTCACGGATGTACCTGGGGTACATGCTCCCTCATTGCGAGGCAGGAGGTAGGCACATGACTGTGCATTTAGGTATATATGTGACCAAGAAGAATCAGAGAAATGGAAAACACTGGAGAACAGAAAGTAACAAGAACTTTTCATCAGGCAATCCCAAAGCGCTCTGCTCTTTTCGTCGTCTTTGTCTCTGTATCCTCTGTGGTTCCAGTTCCAGCTGAACTTGTGACAATCCCAAACCGTTCCTTCCTCTTTTTCAGTTTCTCATCATCTTCAGATTTTCTGGAGATTGAAGAGACATTCAAACCAAATCTTTGAGCTCTTTCCTTCAGCTTATCCAAGTTAACCGTAGGTTTGTTGTCAGACGACAGACCTTTTGTTGGAACTAAAGAAATCCCAAACCTAGCTGCCCGAGCAGCTTTCTTACTCTCCAATCTCACAGGTACATTGAATCGTTCAGCCCTCTTCTGCATTCTCTCAGTCTGTAGTATTTCAGATGTTATTTTCACCACTTTCTTTTCTGCTGCCACATCAACAGTTTTTTCAGGGAGTTCTTCCTCTTTGACAGGGAGCTCTATAGGCTTTGTTTCTTCCTCTGTTTCATCTCCCAGTACATCTTCTTCATTTGCTTCCTCTTCAGCATGTTCTTCAAGATATGCCTGGAGTCTGTGGATAAGATCTTGCTTTATTCCCTTGGTCTCCAAACCACGAGCAAGACATTCTTGCTTTAGTTCAGCAAGCTTCAGCTTATGGAGCTCCACCGTCGCGGTCGCCATCTTGTTACCCCTCAACTTTAGGAATTTTAAAAGAGTGAATAACTGAGCAACCAATCACACCAATAGAAAATGCAAGCAAGAGAAATTTCAGTCAATTTGTGATACAAAGGGGAGAAAATGAGTGTCTTGCTAAAAAAAATTGCATTGACAGTTCCAAATTAGGTAATTAGGTAATTCAAAACAAATGTCGATTTGTGAAATTTGTACGTTGCTTGTTTGGCCAAAATAAATACTATCTAAAAAAGCTAGTGCACACAGAGATTACAGTCAGTATACTTCAGTGCACAATATTTTCAAAGGTGTACATTAATACAAGTTTAAAAATTGGAGATGTGTCTAAATTTTCTGCATGTTGTTCATGACAACAGCATTTGCAGCAGAATTTTTAAGTCTAGTTCCCGATGATAGCCTTATTCCTAAACCAGGGGTGCATGTGAAATAAACAACTAAATACCTACCAATAAGTGCCTTCCCAATTGTAGGCACTCAGTAAGTAAATCTTGAATGAATGATAGCCGTGATCCTGTGTAATAGCCATATTATATAACTTTATCCAGCACCAAATACATTTCTAACTATTATCAGACAATTATTATAGCTCTATGGAAGGTGAATAGTGTGTCTGCTATTTTGAAAATTCATTGTTTTTAAAAACTGTATCTTCCAAACAGAATTTGATCTGCTGTTTTTAAATAGGAAAACAGACATGTTATTACATATAATTCTGTGCTTACTCCATAGCATAATATTCCTAATTCATAATTTAAAGAAAGGTATACTAATTTATATGTTTAAAACCTTTTATCTTTCTTAAGATGATAATATTTATTGATGATATGAATATGCCAGCGTCAGATATGTATGGAGCACAGCCACCCCTGGAATTGATAAGACAATTATTAGATCTGGGAGGGGTTTATGATACTGAAAAAAATACATGGAAGGTACAGTATATACTAAGATTTTGTTCGTACTACATGTTGTTCCTTACACTAAATTAAATCTTTATAACAATGTTGAGTCATTAAGTGAGAAAGTTAGAAATTCTGGCCATATGAACATATTAAGCAAAGTTGAGACCCTAAACTACTATATTAATTGTATCTTTGCAATGTAGGTCCACTGGATTTATAGAAATCCTACTTTTAATTGTTTTAAATCTTAGTAAAAATTGCATGTATGTCCTTGAAATTTGATTTCTTTTTTTTTTTTTTTTTTTTTAGTTTAAGTTCTGGGATACATGTGCAGATCTTGCAGGATTGTTACATAGGTACACACATGCCATGGTGGTTTGCTGCCTCCATCCCACTGTCACCTACATTAAGTATTTCTCCTAATGTTATCCCTCCCCAATCTCCCCACCCCCTGCTATCCCTCCCCTAAACCCCCACCCCCCAACAGACCCCAGTGTGTGATGTTCCCCTCCCTGTGTCCAAGTGTTCTCATTGTTCAACACCCACTTATAAATGAGAACATGCAGTGTTTGGTTTTCTGTTGTTGTGTCAGTTTACTGAGAATGAGTTTCCGGATTCATCCATGTCCCTGCAAAGGACATGAACTTATCCTTTTTTAAGACTGCATAGTATTCAATGGTGTATATGTGCCACACTTTCTTTATCCAATCTATCTCTGATGGGCATCGGGGTTGGTTCCAAGTCTTTGCTATTGTAAGCAGTGCTGCAGTGAACACACATGTGCATGTGTCTTTATAATAGAATGATTTATAATCCTTTGGGTATATACCCAGTAATGGGATTGCTGGGTCAAATGGTATTTCTCGTTCTAGATCCTTGAGGAATCACCACACTGTCTTCCACAATGGTTGAACTAATTTACACTCCCACCAACAGTGTAAAAGTGTGCCTATTTGTCCATATCCTCCCCAGTGTCTGTTGTCTCCAGATTTTTTAATGATCACCATTCTAACTGGCGTGAGATAGTATCTCATTGTGGTTTTGATTTGCGTTTCTCTAATGACCAGTGATGATAAGCGTTTTTTCATATGTTTGTTAGGCACATAAATGTCTTCTTTTGAAATCTGTCTGTTCATATCTTTTGCCCACTTTTTGATGGGTTTTTTTTTCTTGTAAATTTGTTTTACTTCTTTGTAGATTCTGGATATTAGCCTTTTGTCAGGTGGGTAGCATGCAAAAATTTTTTCCCATTCTGCTGATTCTAATTATTGTTTCTTTTGCTTTGCAGAAGCTCTTTAGTTAAATTAGATCTCATTTGTCTACTATGGCTTTTGTTGCCATTGCTTTTGGTGTTTTAGTCATGAAGTCTTTTCCCATTCCTATATCCTGAATGATATTGCCTAGGTTTCTTTCTAGGGTTTTTATGGTATTAGGTCTTATGTTTAAATATTTAATTCATCTTGAGTTAATTTTTGTATAAGGTGTAAGAAAGGGGTCCAGTTTCAGCTTTCTGCACATGACTAGCCAGTTTTCCCAACACCATTTATTAAATAGGGAATCCTTTCCCCATTACTTGTTTTTGTCAGGTTTGTCAAAGATCAGATGGCTGTAGGTGTGTGGCATTACTTCCAAGTCCTCTGTTCTGTTCCATGGTCTATATCTCTCTTTTGGTACCAGTACCGTGCTGTTTTGATTACTGTAGCCTTGTAGTATAGTTTAAAGTTAGGTAGCATGATGCCTCCAGCTTTGTTCTTTTTGCTTAGTTTTGTCTTGGCTATGTGAGCTCTCTTTTGTTTCCATTTGAAGTTTAAAGTAGTTTTTTTCCAGTTCTGTGAAGAAGGTCAATGGTGGTTTGATGGAGATAGCATTGAATCTATAAATTACTTTGGGCAGTATGGCCATTTTCATGGTATTGATTCTTCCTAACCACGAGCATGGAATGTTTTTCCGTCTGTTGCTGTCCTCTCTTATTTCCTTGAGCAGTGGTTTGTAGTTCTCCTTGAAGAGGTCCTTCACGTTCTTTGTTATTGTGTTCCTAGATATTTTATTCTCTTTGTAGCAATTGTGAATGGGAGCTCACTCATGATTTGTCTCTCTATTTGTCTGTTATTGGTGTATAGGAATGCTTGTGATTTTTTGCGCATTGATTTTGTATCCTGAGACTTTGCTGAAGTTGCTTATCATCTTTTTTTTTTATTGCATTTTAGGTTTTGGGGTACATGTGATGAACATGCAAGATTGTTGCATAGGTACACACATGGCAGTGTGGTTTGCTGCCTTCCGTCCCCTCACCTGTATCTGTCATTTCTCCCCATGCTATCTCTTCCCACCTCCCCACCCCCCCGCCCCTCCCCCATTTCCCCCCAACGGACCCCAGTGTGTAGTGCTCCCCTCCCTGTGTCTATCATCTTAAGGAGATTTTGGGCTGAGATGATGGGGTCTTCTAAATATACAATCATATCATCTGCAAATAGAAACAATTTGAGTTCCTCTTTTCCTAATTGAATATCCTTTATTTCTTTTTCTTGCCTGATTGCTCTGGCTAGAACTTCCAATAGTATTTTGAATGGGAATGGTGAGAGAGGGCACCCTTGTCTAGTGCCAGTTTTCAAAGGGAATGCTTCTAGTTTTTGCCCATTCAGTATGATATTGGCTATGGGCTTGTCATAAATAGCTTTTATTATTTTGAGATGCATTCCATCAATAACTAGTTTACTAAGAGTTTTTAACATAAAGGGCTGTTGAATTTTGTCAAAGGCCTTCTCTGCATGTATTGAGATAATCATGTGGTTTTTGTCTTTGGTTCTGTTTATGTGATGGATTACATTTACAGATTTGTGTATGTTGAACCAGCCTTGAATCCCCAGATGAAGCCTACTTGATCATGATGGATAAGCTTTTTGATGTGCTGTTGCATTCAGTTTACTAGTATTTTATTGGAGATTTTTATGTGGATGTTCATAATGGATATTGTCCTGAAATTTTCTTTTTTAGTTGGATCTCTGCCAGGTTTTGGTATCAGGATGATGTTGGTCTCATAAAAAGAGTTAGGGAGGACTCTCTTTTTGTATTGTTTAGAATAATTTCAGAAGGATTGGTACCAGCTTCTCTTTGTATGTCTGGTAGAATTTGGCTGTGAACCCATCTGGACTAGGACTTGTTTTGTTGGTAGGCTATTACTTGCTGGCTCTACTTCAGACCTTGTTATTGGTCTATTCAGGAATTCAACTTCTTCCAGGTTTAGTCTTGGGAGGGTATGAGTGCCCAGGAATTTATCCATTTCTTCTAGATTTACTGTTTATGTGCATAGAGTTGTTTGTAGTAATCTCTGATAGTTTGTATTTCTGTGGAATCTGTGGTGATATCACTTTTATCATTTTTTATTACATCTATTCAATTCTTCTCTCTTTTCTTTTTTATTAGTCTGGCTAGCAGTCTATTTTGTTGAGCTTTAAAAAAAAAAACAGCTCCTGGATTTATTGATTTTTTTGTGTATGTCTGTCTCCTGATCAAGTTCTGCTCTGATCTTGGTTATTTCTTGTCTTCTAGCTTTTGAATTTGTTTGGAGATTTGGTTTCTGAGTCAAATAATGCTCATTATTGTTAACTGTATAAGTAGCTAATCAATTTTTTCAATGCATCGAATTTTAGTTAGTTGTGAGAAAAGCCAGTGAAAATATGCACCCCTGATACATCTTCAATGTCTATATAAGACTACTCTACATCTTTATCTCAGGACCATAGATCCAGCATTTTCAGAAATGTCACAGTCAAAAAAAATTTCTGTGCAATTATTTTTGTTGCATTGAACCTAAATCAGAATTGCTTACTTTTTAAAATATATATGTGTGTGTGTATATATATATATATATATATATATATATATATATATATGTGTGTGTGTGTGTGTGTGTGTGTGTGTGTGTGTACACAAATGCATTTTTCTCACTGGGTCCTTCTCTGGAAATCACAAGCCCTATATTTCAGAACTGACTGCCACTTAAACATTCTAGGCCTCAGATTTCTCATCTATAAAATTAGATGGTTGCATTACAAATGATTTCATGTCTCAGACAAACTTGGGCCCAGGAT